AGTGCCACTTGTTCAAGATGAAAGTGTCCGACGCCTGGCCCGGTCTAGACGACGCCTCTGCCCTCGGCTTCGACAAATGCTTCACCGCCTGGCTCACGAACCCGCGTCGGATCCTTCCCGTCGCGACGTCCGCCTCGTCCACCAGCGACGGTTCGAACAGTGACAACGCAGTGAAGGGTTACCTCAGCAAGAATCTCACGCACTGCTTCGTTTCCGGGACCGAAGCCAGCCCGTGGTGGAGGGCGGATCTGGGTGTTTCGAAGAAGGTTGCGCAGGTCCGGGTGCATGTACGGCAGGACGATACTGTTGGAGGGTTCTTAGACGTCGAAGCTCGCCTGGGGGACTCAGCAGTCTATGAGGACAATGCCGTGTTTGATTTCAAAGCCGGTGAGCCTATCAAGAATGCAGAGGTCCTCTTTGCGCCCTCTAAACCCTTGAGCGGGCAGTACTTCTTTCTCCAGAGTCAAGGATCCTCGTCTGATAATAAACTAGCTTTCTGCAGCATAGAAATTCTGGAACAAGAGCTGGATCCAGTGCTCAGGTGCAGGTTTTGTAGTTTAAGTATTCACTTTGGTTGAAGGATTTTTTTCGTGTTTTCGTATTGCTCAATGGTTCGTAGAACATTATTAGTAGCATCATTAAACCTTATTTCAAACATGATTACCTTTAATGAAGTAATTGCAGTATCAAAATACCAATGGGAATCCCTGTCGCAGTTGCTTAACTATGGCTTTTAGAATTAAATATACCTTTACAGAAACTGCAAGGATGTATACGACCACGGCAACCGCAAGAGTGGCGTTTACACAATATATCCCTACATGGGCTGCCTCGATCCCGTTAACGTGTACTGCGACATGGACACCGACGGCGGTGGGTGGACGGTCTTCCAGAGGCGCCGCGACATCACGCCGAGGCTCGACTTCTACCGCACGTGGGACGAATACGCTCGCGGCTTCGGGGACGTCGCGAATGGAGAGTTTTGGCTCGGGAACGAACACATCCACGCCCTCACGGACCAGACGACCAACGAGCTCCGGGTCGATCTAGAAGACTTCGAGGGCGGAACTCGGTGGGCCAAATACAGCAGCTTCTTCGTGGATGACAGGGACCATTTCTTTACCATGACCCTGTCGGGATACACAGGGGATGCGGGCAACTCCCTCGGTATTCATAATGGCCAGAAGTTCTCGGCGAAGGATAGAGACTTGGACAACAAGGCGGAATTCTGTTCTAACTCGTAAGAACTGCATATTTTTTTTACCAATATCTGAAAAGTGACTATGTTCCAGGAAACATATTTCTTCCATACTGAATTTTTTCGTTGTAAAAGGTTATATCGGTAAATGTCTCAAATTTGTGTCACGGATCACGATAATAGTGGTGCCGTTGGCTTCGTCTCCTCTGTATACGAGACCTTTGGAAACCTGTACCCCACGATCATAGCTCCAATAGTAGGAGAGGGCATGGAGGCTATCAGGGAAGCTGCGACGTAAATCACAAAGGAAAATCAACTGTACAGATTACCTATGCGAGGAAAGCCGGCAAATCATCCACTATATGTACATATGAAGCTCAAACTTTCCTTGATTTTTACCCCACAATTTCCCTTATATCCATTATGCCGTCCCCTGCTACCGGGACCAAGATCAATTAGTATGGGAGCTTTCGGCGCAGCAAAACACATATATAATATAAGTAAGGTGTTAAAAAAACGTCGGTACCACTAGTGTCATGATCTCAGTGGTAGAGTATACTTAATCAACAGTTAGAAGCAGTTAGCTTGAGGAAGGGCCACCTGCCTCGCCAAGAGGAGCAGTTCTTAACCTCATCTAACTCTACTTCAACAGATATTTTTCTGGTTGGTGGTATAACGCATGTCACGAAGCTAGCCTCAACGGAGAGTACCTGGGAGGTGAACACTCACTCTACGCAAGGGGAATTATTTGGTATAGATGGCATGGATATTACTACTCCCTAAAGGCCTCGACCCTTAGGATTCGACCGGCCACCTGATACCAATCGGTAGGAGTGCATTTTATTTTTCATTCTGCATGCTGTTTCATATTTGGTTTCAGAGTAAAAAAAAAAAAAGAAGTTGAATGACTAAGGATTGTCAAAATTATTATTATTGTATCTGTTATCTATTATTGTATTCTGTTTATTTGTATCTTTCTATAATTCATGAAATTATACGATTTTACATTTTTTAGGTCCACAAATGCTTATCATAAATGGAAAGTAGCTGGAAATTCCTTTAAAGTTTATTCATATCAGGCACTGCAAATTGTCTATATCTGAGTAGAGTTCATTGTGACAAAAGCTAAAAAAGTCTGTGAGGGTTGTAATCAAGGTGTTTAAAGATAGGTACTGCCACTTCCATTTAGTCTATTGGTTCCGAAAATGAAAGCCACTTTTCCTAGATGATTAAGACGCTTTTTTATGGTATGGAACACCATATCCGATGGGCTGCTAAAAATATTATGCCTTATACTTACAC